GTTTGTGACAATGGCTTCACTGTCAAACCTTATACATTATATTTGAAAAAATTCCATCGTTTGGTAGAAGATGAGAACAATGTCTAGATCCATTGAATCACTCCAATGAAGGATACAACTTTAGAATAACAATTCACCATATTGCACAATGTTAGATTGAGACTATGAGGGCCACATGGAGTATAGAAAGCTCGGAGATTCATTTCAAGTACTCTTCTTTGCACACTTTTGTGCTTCCCTCTCATGTTAGATCCATTGTCATACACCTACCCTATAATATAATCAATATCAAGATCAAGTTGGTCAAAACCTTTTGAAGCTTGGTTGCAATATCAAGATCAAGTTGGGCCTCTAATCCGCCTCGCATTAGGGCCAGCCCTGACCAGTGTAACCAATAATCTACAAGACATTTTGATCTTGAGTAATGATATTTATCTTCATTGATGCTTAGCACCAGTCCAAGTTGCAATTAGATGGTATTAAATGATAGCTTTATTTGAATACAAAGTCAAACGATTCATTTAATTGGACCTATCAAATGTGGTCGCTTAAATTGATGTTCCAATATTAGTGTTAAATAACATTATTCTTTGATTCCAGCAAAATTAATGATTGATTTGGATCAACCAATCAGTTTATTGATATTTTGGTTAGACCAATAAGTCCGATCCAATAACTACAAGAAGAGGATAAAGAGGGCTGTAACTTGTACAGTCCTTAAGGACTGTACAAGTAGAATTTTGCGAGGATAAATGGCTTGAGTCTAAAATCATTTGCATCGATCCAGTTTAAGAACATTGCTTTGCAGTAAATCATAGCCAAAATTGTTAGGAACATGCAGTCACTTCAACCGCCATAAAAACAGGGAGCAAACTCAAGAACCCTCTTCCTTCTGAATAGGATTTGATGTGTGTGGTCCCCAAAAATCAGTTATGGGTCCCACTCTGACTACCCAGTTTGAGTCTGAATGCTATTTCCTGACAATATTGTTGAAAAAGAGAAGATGAATTGCTGCTGCAAAATGCAACATCACTAGTTAGATGACAAAAATCGACCATAGTTTCTTTCCATTTTAAGGCATCCTTTTGTTTCTTATCCACCACATGAGGATGCAAATGGAACACCCCACAGTTTATTTTCACCTAGTATTTTTTTTTCATTTTTTTTAAATAAATAACTTTAGAGCAAAATATGTTAAAATTAATTTAGGAGGCATTTTTTATTAATAACAAAAATAAAACAAAATACAATTTAGGGAGAGAATTCAACCTGATCACTAGATAATGGTACAATAAAGCAAAATACCCCTTCTAGATATAGAGTACAAAATACCACGTCTAGATATAGTGAGTACAATGTAAAATTTGAAGAATTATACTTCACGCATCCTAGTCATACTTCTCATCATCATATGTCAAATGTAGTTTCTTTAATTTTTGGCTACTTTTGTACTCGGTGCTTGAAGAAAATTGTCGAAAAGTCCATAGCTTCCTAGCTGTCTCTAAACATATTTGCTTGCTCTCGAATAGAAAGGTGACACCTCTACCGTCACTCACATCTTTATTAACACCATATATTTATTTTTATCCAATTTCAATTGCCCCCATCTAACCACTAACTATTAGTCTTCAAATGAAATTAATTTTGATAATAACTAGTTATTTACATCTACAATATTTAAAAGGAAGGATTTGTGACAAACTTTTGAATACCAATTTTACCCTTAATTTTCTTTTTAACTTTTGACAACAATGCCCTTAATTATGAGTGCCATAATGATTAGTAGTTAAATAATTATATTATATTATATTACAACTCCAAAAATTAATTATAATTTAACTTCAAGTAGCCTCCATCAAGTATAAAAAAGAAAAAAAAATTATAAATTCTATTTTTTTTTATTTGAAGTACTTACAATTATACGTTAATCGAATTAAGTTTTAATCACTTAAAAATTGAAAATCATCTATATATAATCATATTTTATAATTATAATAGAATAGTTATGAATGAAAATTCCATTTGAAATGGTAAAGGCTAACACTTAAACGTGAAGTAACGGTTATGTGGAAATAGAGATGATTGTTGTCAATCTTAGACGTCGTCTGTTTCCAATTTTTACAAATTCTGAATCAATTTTTGTACCATTGGTTGCCTAGAGCCCAATGTGAGAAGGAATTCAGGAAAAAAAAAAAAGAAGGCAACAAGAGCTCACCAACGGTCAAAAAAATTCATTTTTATTTGCCTGAAAATTTCTTCCGGACATGACTTTACACACCCTAGTAATTATGAGTTATTTGCCTTAACATATTTGTAACCTCCATCCACATGTCTTTCTTAGGAATTAGAAAAGAAATCCGTAACATTTTAAAATTTATTTTTAAATATATATATTTTTTGGTTTCTCTACATTAAATATTAAAGAGGATAAATTTTTATTTTTATTTTTGATTAACAACTAATGCTCTATACTCTACTTTTATTAAGTTTTGAAGGTTTTTCTATTAATAAAAAAATATGTTATTAGGATAATGAAATTTTCATTTTCGGTCATTGAATTAGTTTGGTAATTAATATAATTCAACCTCAAAAGATGCTTTAATAAATTATTTTAAAAAATTTAATAACCACTTTAATTGTTCAATTGAATATATTTTTTTAAAAATTAATTATTCTAATGTAAAATAAATCAAATCAATAAACTTTCATTTTTAATCGAGTCTCTTTCACAATAAACTTGAGGTTGACTAATGAATCAATGAAAATATATATTTTTTAATTTTTTTCCCATATATTTTTGTTTAAAATAAAAATAAAAAAGGCGTCGTAATGATTGAAGCCCATATTTACTTGAATTAACCACATAGTGCATTACTTAGATATATCATTTTTTTTTATCAAAAAAAAAAAAAGATATATCATTATTTTAATCTCAATTATTAAAAAAATAAAATAAAATAAGAGACCATTTTAGGCTGCAAGAATTTGAAATCTAAATGACCGTTTGATTTGTGTATCAGTTTGTTTAAAGTTTTTAGTTCATTTCCAGTTTCTATTTTGAGAGTCCATTTTAAAATTGCTAAAAATGTATTGGGTTTGTCATTTAAAAAATTATTTCTCAAAACAGAAAAATATAAACGACGTTTGGTTTGAAATTTTGAAATTTTTTTTTATAACATTGAATAAAAATTTGATTATTCAACAAAAAAAAATTTATGTTAATATATTATTAAAGTAATATATCTTTTTTAAAGTTGATGAATCTTCTAATATTTTTTTCTTGTCACAAAATTAAAATAAAAACAAATAATAAATTGAGTTCAAAATATATGTAATAAAAGAAAAAATTCAAGAATAAATAGTTTTCAATATGTCTATACTTTACAATGATCATTAACAAAGTTCAAAGACAAAAGTGCCTGCTGTTGGAATATACATTTTTAAACACGCATTCTCTCGTGGACAACTATATGTCGCACATTCTCGTGGAGTTTCAATATAAATAACAAAAGTCTTGCTAAAAGTAGAAAATAAAAAGAAGAAAAGTTGTGAGACGTTGACAAAAAATAGTTATTGTAATCAAAACATTATATTTTAGTTTATTCAACATTTTCAGTCATATACATAATTTCATAAAAAAAAAATATTCAAAGATATTCTTTGTAACAATTTTAATTTCCCTTTTAACAATATCCATTACATAAACTACTTTCAAAATATTATATTAGTATTTCAAAAATATTACACATAATATTACGCAATGCACAACCTTATTACATGTGTCTTAATTAACAAATTAATTGTCATTCTCATGAATTTCCAAGTTGTTAAAACATTTTATTTATATCTATCAGTGGCAAAATGTGAATTTAGATCTTCTCATTAGAGTAGAATTTCGATTTAGATTTATTGGGATGTAAATGAGAATACAAAAATAATTTTAAAAATACTAATTTATACCTAATTTTATACTATTACTGAAGATGCTATTGACAAATAGAAAATAACTCCTATTAAAAATTGAAGATACAAGAATGAGAAACATTATCCCAAACCAGCAAGTGGAATTGCAAGGACAGACGCAAATGTCTTGAAATGGGCATCAAACTCATGCTGTCACATCACACTTCTACACCCTCTTTTGTTTGAGTACTTCTATTTTATTTTATTTTTTTATATGTTTTCAAANAAAAAAAAAAAAAAAATCATTGTTTCACAATCAAGATTGATTTGAATCAGAAAAAAAAAGAAAAAGCAAAAAAAAAAAAGGAAAATTGTTAACAATTAAAATAACGCCAGTGGCACAATTTCCATGATCTTCATCATGATATCACTGTTACACAAATCAAGGGCTCTCTATCATTCTCACGATCAGAGTCATTAGGCAATACTGTTTCACCACATCCTGTACATGTGAGCACCTGTGCCCTCATGGCTTGGTACTCCCAATTCGTGGTCCCGACCACATATAGCATAAGACCAGCACAACAAACTTGGGCAGATAGCAATCCAATCCAAAGTCCACAAAATCCAACACCTAGCAAGAGGCCCAACCCAACTGCCACCGGCATCCCCACTAGATAGAATGCACCAAGATTCACGTTAGCCGCAGTTGACGGTCGGGCGGTCCCACGTACGACCCCACATCCGATGGTCTGGGGACAATTCCCAAGCTCACATAAACCTAAAATTGGCAAAGCAGCAGATGTCAATCGTATGATGTTGAAATCATCCGTGAACATTCGAGCCCACAAATTTCTAACTAATGTTGCAAATATCATAGCGAATAAGCCCATTAGACCGGCTAGGAAAATTGATACAATTGCCGAGACTCGAGCTTTTTGAGGTTGGTTCGCACCGAGTTCGTTTCCAACCCGAGTCGACACAGCAAACCCGAGTGACGAGGGAAACACGTAAAGCAAGGACGTCATTTGAATTAAAATTCCCATGGATGCCACAGTTGCCTTGGGGTCCACTAAAAGTCCACACAACACTATCATAATTTCATACCACCACCACTCTAGACAAACCGAAACACAGCTAGGCGCAGCTAGTTGAACGAGCGGAGCCCAGCCAGTCAAGCACTCCCGGCTCGGCTTCGTCCATGTTGGCACGTGCAATCCACGGGCCCAGACGTAGATAATAACCGTCAATAACACGACAACATTTGAAGCAGCGGATGCAGCTGCAACACCAGACACGCCAAACTTGAGCCGAAAAACGAACAAGTAATTGATGGGCAAATGCACGGCAGTTCCAGCAAGTGAAGCCATTGTAAGTGGCTGAGTAATACCTTGCGCCCGAAGGTAAATCCTTATAGGATGAATAAATGAATTTGTAATAAGGTCAGGAAGTGAAAAAACAAGATACGTGCGAGCCAAGCGTGTGATGTTGGGATCTTGATGTAAATACAGAAGAATCTTGGAAATATTGATCCAAAGAAATGTAATTGGTATAGAACAAATCAGAAGAAAAATAATCGTCCTCTGCAGTGTTAAAGAAAGGAGCTTCGGTCGTTGAGCGCCGAAGGCTTGCGAGCAAAGGGGCTCCATTCCTAGTGCAAGACCCGATAGCAATGAATAACCGGTGATATTAGCGAATGCTATGGCTAATGAGCCTGCAGCCAGTTCAATATCACCAAGGTGACCTAGAAAAAGCATCGAAAGTATAGAGCGAGAATAGAAAATAAGTGCAGTTAATGCTATGGGAAAAGCAAGGCTGAAGAGTTGTTTAATTTCGTTTAAAAACTCTGATGGGGTTGGCAGGAGAACTATTTGGTGTGGGTTTTCTTGGGTTTCTTTGGTGGGCTTTTGCGGATTGAAGGATATTAGATCAAGAAAGAGGTGGGCTTGTTGCGGCGGCGCCGCCGTGAAGGGTTTTTGATCTTGATGATCTGTGAGTGCTGGGGTGGTGTTTAGATTGCACATATTGAGCGGCAGGCAGCGGCCGGTGAGTTTTCCGTTGGCTTTTCTTGAATTGTATGAATGTATGTATACGGAATATAGACCAATTTCTTGAGAGAGACTCTCGTGAAGAGCACTCCCTAACAGACCTGTGTATGTATATCTCTAGTTTCTTTCTCTGACCACTCTTTCTCAATTGGGACTATTAATAGAAGAGGTGATGTAAGATTTTGTATATATTTTTTTTTTTTTTCAATTGACATTTACAGCCTTCACGGGGGATATTTTTTTATTTCCTATACATCTCCTTTCGGAATTGTAGTAAAAGTAAGTTTCCTTGTGGTTTCAAGAGAAGTCAGCGAGGGAAGATTGGTAGTTCCCAGAGCTGCAATTTCCAATATGGGGTTGTTTTTACAAGATCGGGTATTAAATGGGTCGAGTTGAGTCATTCAATTTGTCTGTCGTGCTTGGTCGCGCCTCAGTCCTCAAGACTCGATAATCTTCCTTTTTGTCTCAAGAATTTCCAAATATGGGAGCAGCTTGCACGAGATTAATTTTGCTACTCGGTTAACGTGCTCGCAAGTGGGCTTCACACTTACTATCCAATGTGATTTGTTGCTACTCATTTAGAGCGACAGTGATTGATACCATCCAATAAAATTGAAATGCATTTTTATATATTAAACAATGAGAAAGTGAACTACATTAGACAATGTTGAAATAAACCCACTTTTGCATAGACGGATGACATCTAGATTAATTAATAGCATAGACGATTAGCAAGCGGACATATGGTATGGACATTTAGGGGTTGTTTGACCAAATTTGAGATAAAGTATCAGTAGATCTTAATAAAAGTTGATAATATATATAGTTAAAATGTTGATAAAAGTGATGTAGTATATGAAATATATGATTAAAATTGAAATTTGACCTATTTAAAATAATAAAATTTTATAAAACAAGCACTTAAGATGAATTAATTTAAAGAAAAATTATTAGTAAATGAGTAGCTAGCTATATGGGTGCCACACCACCCTCTTTCATCAACACATGGGGTGCCTCTCATAGTGAAAGGATAAGAAGGTCGACTGCCAGGGTATGTTAATTTTTGTGGAAATAATTTTCATTTTCTTAATTCATATAATTTCATGTTAGCAAACGGATTTGAAAATAGGAGCAGTATAATTTCTTATTGGGACACAAAGTAAAATAGCAGTATGATTTATATTGGAAGAAGAGAAAATCTTGTAAATTTTAATTTTTTTAGATTTTAGAGTTATCAGTTTTATGTATATCTTGTAAATTTCAATCTTTTAGATTTTAGAGTTATCAATTTTCCATCTTTGTATATACCTGAATCAAGTCAATTGAATGAAACATACATACACTTCACAAAAACATTTTCTTCTCATTTTTGCATTAACCATTTTCACATGATATCAGAGCTGTAAACGATATCATTTTCCAGCCTCAAATTCATTCACAATGTCTGATGAAACTCTTGCCACCAATATGACATCATCATCATCATTGCCATCTATCAAATCAGATCCTTACGCCATTCATTACTCAAATAGTCCCTATACCATTCTTGTTACACCTCTATTGACATGAGACAATCGTGGATCATCGAGTCATGTAGTAACAAAGGCTCTTCGTTCAAAAAGTAAACTTGGTTTCGTTGATAGTTCACTCTCAATACCAAAGGAGAAAGATGATGTTCTCAACTGGTAACATTGTAATAATTTGGTTTGAAGTTGGATTTTTAGTTTTGTCTTACTTGAAATCCGTCCAAGTATGTTGTATGTTGAAATTGCAGCACAAATTTAGATGGATCTAAAGGATTGATTTTTGTTAGGAATTAATAGCGTTCAATGGCTCAAAAACAGCATACATTATCATTTGCAGAATATACAGAAAACATAGGAACTAAAATCGAACATAAAAAGGAAGCATAATGCTACTTCCCTTCAGTTCTTCTTCCCCTTTGCAATGGCCGAAAGGTTAGGCTCATGTACAGCCACCATGCTTTGCAAAACGCCATCCAGAGAAAGCACAAGAATCAACCAGAACCTCTCATCACTTGGCTTGGATCATTGATCCAAGAATCTACCAAAAGCAGCCAAGATTTACGCCCTAAATCTCCACTAAGCCCTCTAGAAAACCTAACACCACTTAGCCACTATTTCAAGCCTAGGCATACACAAGAGTTCCTCCAATCAAAGGCTAAAGGATCGATTTCATGGGCCACATGAAGAGGAGGAAGAAAACTAGCCTCAACAAAGATGCAGAGACTAGACCGAACAGAGAGAGGGAAGAAGTGTCTGAAGGAAGGAAACCCAAGTGAATTATGAAGACCAAAAGTCAAGCCAATAAAATATCTCAACCAAGGAATAAATCCCAGCCCTTGATCTCAATCTGATGGTCACAATAAAAACCCAACTAACACAATCCGGGTCAAACCAAAGCTACCAATAGGCGAGTGACATCTAAGCAGCTAAGTCAAATAATAAGTAACAATAGAAATGTCACAAATAGTACTAGCCCATAAGTGTTAGAGGACCACAATTCTCACATTCTTCACCTTGGTTCTCTTAACACGTACTTTCTCGTTACGAATTTGCATATGGAAGGACTTAACTGCAAGAAAAATTAACTAGTGTCAATATTTAACAAAGATAAGCACAATTTAAATTTTCGTACAGACAGAATTTTTGTCCCAATATCAGAGGAATTCCTATCAATATGAATCTTAACAAGTTCAACTTCACCTTGAGATAGTTTCTCACGAATGAAATGATACTTCACCTCAATATCTTTAGATCTCTCATGATAAACATGGTTCTTACTAAGTGACAATGCACTTTGACTATCAGTAAACATAACAGGTATATCATGCACGAAGTTCAATTCTTTTAAGATTCTTTTTAACCAAATACATTCCTTAACCGCTTCGGTTATGACAACATATTCTGCTTCAATACTAAACAAAGTCACTAAATGCTGTAGCTGAGATTTTCATGTTATGCAGTTATCACCAGGGATAAAAAAGTATGCTGTAGTTGATTTCCTACTGTCTTTATCACCAGCAAAGTCAGCATCAACATATCCTTTAAGGATTAACTTTTTAGATTTTTCTTATACACTAAGCCTAGATTTAAAGTCCCAACCAAATACCTTAACAACCATTTCATTCCAGCCCAGTGTGGCTTACCAGGATTGGATATTAATCTACTTAGGAGACTGATGGAAAATGCAAGAACAGGTCTAGTAGTAATCATAGAAAATATGACGGAACTAATGACATTAGCATAAGGTACATTTTCCATTTCTTTCAATTCAGACTCAGATTTATAATGAGCATGTGAAAAATTCATATGACTAGCAAGATGCACATTCACAATTTTACTGTGTTTCATTCCAAATTTTGTTACAACTTTGTTCAAGTAAGCTTCTTGTGAATAGTTAACCTATTCTTAGCCATATCCCTAGTTATCACCATCCCGAAAATCTTTCTAACATTTCTTAAATCCTTCATGTCAAATTCTGATTTTAAAATATCTTTCAGTTCTTTAATTTGAGACTTGCTAGGTCCAGCTAACAGCATATCATCAACATAAAGCAGTAAGTAGACTTCACAATCGCTCTTTAGGTCACTAAAATACAAGCAAGCATCAAATTCACTTCTTTTAAACCCAATATTTAGCACATAGGCATCAAAACCTCTTGTATCATGCCTTGGACTCTGTTTCAGCCCGTACAAAGATTTCTCTAACTTGCACACATAATCAGATTTTCCTCTAGCCACAAAATCTTGTGGTTGACTCATGAAGATGTCCTCTTCCAACTCCCTATTTAAAAATGTAGTTTTTACCTCAAGTTGTTCAAGTTCCCAATTGAATTGAATAACAAGAGCCAACTTCAATCTGATTGTCTTGTACTTAATCACAGGTGAAAATATCTCATTATAGTCCACACCTTCTCTTTGAGTATAACTCTTAGTCACTAATCTCGCCTTAAACCTCACAGGAATATTAGGACTCAAACCTTCTTTTAACTTGTAGATCCACTTACATGGAACCAATTTCCGATCTTTAGGTTTCTTAACAAGTTTTCAGGTTTTGTTATCACTCAAAGATTTCATTTATTCCTACATGGTTTTTATCCAATTTTCAGAATATTTTCCATTAATAATTTCTTCATAAATGGCAGGTTTATCTGTTTAAGGGTTTCACCTGAAACTAAGGCAAACTCAGTCAAACTTAGAGATTCATATCTAGGATTAGGCTTGATTTGCCTTCTAGCCCTATCCTTAGTCAGCTGATAATCTTGATTAGGTGGCTGATCATCAAAATGTTCAACTTCAACTACTTCAATGTTATCTTGAAGTTCGGTCACCTTTTCAGGTTCAGTTTCGGTTTCAATTTCAAGTTCATGATGTGTAGGGTCATTATCGTCATTCCCAGGTATAGGTTAATCAAGCTTAGTTAGTTTCACCTTAGTCTGAACACTTCTCTCAGTTTCAGATTTATTAGCTTCATCAGTTTTCTGTTTTAGACATGGCATTTCAGATTCATTAAAGACTACATTCCTGCTGTTAATAATCTTAATACTGAACCCCTAAAACCCATGACCTATAACATTTCACACCCTCGGGATACCCTAACATCACACACTTGATAGCCCTAGGCTCAAGTTTTCCTTCAGACTGATTTGCATATGCAGCAAATCCAAACACCCTCAGGTAACTTAGATTTGGAGGCTCCCCCGTCCACAACTCCTGTGGAGTCTTAAACCCTATACTGCCGGATGGTGACCTATTAATCAGATAAGGTGCAGTACTAATAGTTTCAGCCCAAAAACCTTTGGCAAGGCTAGAACTAATCAACATACATCTAACCTTGTTGATTATGGTCCTATTCATTCTCATAGCGACCCCATTCTGTTCATGTGTGTATTTAATGTGTCTTGTTATCTCTTTCTGTTTACAGAAGTTATCAAATTTGAAATTATAGAATTCA